CCCATCTCTACTAAAAATAGAAAAAATTAGCCAGGCATGGTGGTGCATGCCTGTGGTCCCAGCTACTTGGGAGGCTGAGACAGGAGGATCGTTTGAGCCCAGGAGTTTGAGGCACTCCGCCTGGGCAACAGAGTTAGGACTCTGTCTCAAAAAAAAAAAAAAAAAAAAAATCTTGGCCTTAGGCATTCCTCCTGCCTCTGTTTTCCAAAGTGCTGGGATTCAAGCCTGAGCCACGGTACCCAGCCTTGTCTGATGTTTTAAAAGAAAAAAAAAAGTTAGAATTGTTACTTTGTTATTACAGTTTTTCCTAATTAATGTAGCCTTGACAGATTAAAATGTAAACTTTAAATTCTTAGTTGTATTTCAAGGACCTAGGTTTGGTTGGAATGAAGTTAGATGTACTAGTTGCCATTGTAAGGGTAATTTCCACAGTTTAATGAAGCATAGTGCTAATAAAGCCTGGGTTACCTTTGCAGGTATTGATTGATTAATTAATTAATTAATTACAGAGTCTTGCTCTGTTGCCCTAAGTAGAGGGGGGCAACATGTTATTCGAAGGTTTGGTGTCATATGCCTCTGGTTTTGTCTGCACTGGTTATGGTATTATTGTCTTTCATTGCTCTCCAAGGTTCTCCACCTTAGGTTCTGTGGCTCTGCCACCATTTGTGGGCCCCCAGTGCCTGTGGCTTAGGCACCTAGTTATATCTAGCAGACACTTTTTACTGAGAACTTGGCACCTCTGCAGTTGGTATCATGGAGTTGATTCTATCCTTTCTAGAATTTCTTCTGAGATTGCTCAAAAGTTCCACTTCTTTGTTTTTCTGGTCACTCAGTGTGGTCTCTTCTTGGGTTTTACTAAACACAAGATGCTGGTTTACATTCCATGCTACTAGAATCCTTAAGCCAAGGTTTTTTGAAAACCTGGCTACCTGATTGAAATTTGAAGGGAGCTAGATCCTTAGGGTGTTCCCGGAAAAAAAAAAAATTGAAGGGAGGGATTGACTTAGGAAAAACATATTAATTAATGTTCCAGAAACTAGCCCCCAGAGGAAATACAATAGGTGCCAAATATCAGTAAAGGTATTATTGCTTGGAGTGTACTTGGAGTTATTTGAAAACTTCATGAAGAAGATGAGACTTGAACTGAGCCTTAAAGGATGGACATAATTCATCATAAGTGAGTGTGTGTGTGTGTGTGTGTGTGTGTATGTGTGTTATGCTTGTGTATCTAAGACAGTGCCTTCATGTGTATATTATTGGGGAGTGGTGACACATGCATAAGTCAGAGGTGTGTGTGGTATGTTTGGGAGCAAGTATGTGGGTGTGTGTAAGAGACAAGAATGAATTGAGAGTTTATGCTGTTGCTGAAGAGTCTCAGAAAGAGGATTGTTATGGTAATAGTCAGCTGGGTGGATTTAGAAAGGGAAGATGCTTAGAAGGCTGTTACAGTAGTTCTGACCTGAACTGAAAAAGGATTGATGCTAGCGAGAATAGGAAGAAAATAACTTGATTGGATAGAAACCACTAGGAAGAATCTATGGGGAGAAGGCTCAATTCAAGATGATTCTGAGTTTTTCTGCTAGGTGCAATGATGGTGTCATTAATGGAAACTGGAGAAGTAAGGATAGGAGTTTGCTGTGAGAGGAAGATAAGGGGTTTAATGGAGGGTTTGATAAGCTGTTGGAGTCCTGAAATGAGGTCAGATTGTAGATAAGGTTCATTGTATCATTAATCTTAAGGATCCTGCTCTAGACTGGTTGTTTTTCCTGTTGACTATTGTGAAGAAGACAGTGAGATAGGAAGATACTGATGAGGAAAGAGGAAATGCCTGATATTTTTGGCTTAAGTTAGGTACCGTGTTTCCCTGAAAATAAGACCTACTCATAAAAGAAGCCCTAGCAGGATTTCTACATTTGGACAATATAAGCCTACCCGGAAATAAGACCTATTGATGGGCGTGGCTACACAGCGTATCTGCACAACCCATGCATTTCGTCACAGAGCGGTAAAGAAGACTAGCAGCCCTTCTCATCTGCCCCATTGTGGCAGCTACTGTCCCAGAGGTGACCAGAAAGGTGTGGGCAGCCCACCAACAAGGTCGGCTACCCCTGTCAGGTCCTGGCCATCCTGGTGCATGCTGAAGCTGAGGCTTTGAGGGAAAGTCTCCTTAGTGAATGAGGAGCAGGACGCTCCACTTTAGGTATTGTGTGTCCCCAGAGGGAAGAGGGAACACTGTGTCTACCATTTTACTATGATGATGTAAAGAAGACGACTTAGCTATATTTGAATAAATGTAGATTGTTGTACCGTACTTAAAAAAAATAACATATCCCTGAAAATAAGCCTAGGGTTCTTCTTGAGGAAAAATAAATATAAGGCCCTGTCTTATTTTTGGGGAAACACAGTAGTACTTTTATTTTTTCATTTACAGAAGTTTTACAATTCCAAATTAACCTGAAATTAGCCTGCTCGAATATTCTTTTTAGTGTTAGCTTTCATCTATATTCCCCTAAATCCTCTCTGAGCATTGTAAATCTTCAAAGATTTATATTAATAAGGATTATATTAATAAACTAATAATATTTATATGATAAAGCTAATAAAAACCTCTTAAGACTGCTATTAGTCCTTCCCTTGCATAACCTCATCATTTGAAACTACTAGCAACTGAGCTTATCTCAGTTTGTTTCTTAAGGAGTTTGCACTTGATGAGAATTATTTTACTTCTTTAGTTTCTCTAGGCCTCTTTCCTATGTATTTTTGGTAAGTGGTGGAATTTGTACTGTAGCTATATTTTCAGAATTGACTTCAACATAGATATTCTTTTTTCTTTTTTTATACTGACAGACAGTGTTTGTAATGCTTCACAAATATAAACATGACAATATAAAAAAGTTCAGTTTATAGGCCTTTCCTCCCTGGCCCTTAATACATTTACCATATAATACTTTTGCTTTTATTTTTATTTGAATCAGGAAGTATATAATTAAAAGCAGTTATGAATTTAGTACTGGAAAATGATTGAGCATATTTGGAGACAATGTTCATTCTACAGGTAGAGCTTGGTACACAAATGGATTTCTGGACTTCATGGTCCACAGGATGAGAACTATGGTATTGCATTTGATTCAAGGAATATTTGTTTTGAGAGTAACAGTTGTGTCCAGTTTTCCTTAAAGAAGGTCCAGATTATACAGATCTTATACAGGTCCAGATTATTGTGGCTTTATTGTACCAATTAATTGAAGTATAATTCCTCGGACAGAATTTGGAAATTTGTGTTACATGTAGAATTAAACTTATAAATTAAATTTACTTGGGTATGTGAATACATGTTCACTTAAAATGATTTAGCAACAGTTGTGTTTCAGGGTGCAGTGTTTACTTTTAGAGCTGGTTACACTGGGAATAATTTTCTGTATCTTTTGGGATGTTTTGACATGTGGAAGAAAACTATACTAAGTGTGTACTCAGTGTTAATTTCTTCTCAATACTGCAAAATCACATAGTTGAGCTGATGTTATCCTTACTCTTTCATTCAATTTACTGATTATCACAGATATAAATGGCTCTCTCAGATAATCCTCTCCAGTGAATTTTAGCTTTAAGTTACTAAAGAACAAATTCCTGCAAAGTTTCAATTTTGCATAGATGATACTGTACATAACTATCTAATATAATGCACTTCTTTAAAACTCTTGAGCTTGGTTTTGATATTGCTTAGTTACCTGTATTTTTGGAAGGGGTAGGCTAATTAGGCAGCTATATGTCCATTATTTTACTAGGCCTACATGACAGTGATTATGTTTTATGGTGATTTTTTGTTTTCTTTTTTGTTGGCCTGGACATTTAAATATATTATGCAGGCACATTAGTTCTATGAAGATTAGCTAAGATAATGGAAGGTCATAGGCTCTTTAGTTGAACGTACAAAGATAGTAAGACTTATCAAAGAAACCATGGATTTTTGAATATGAATATTTTAAATAAAATATTAAAATTATAGTAGGATATATGTTCATTACGGCATTTAATCTTTTTTTTTTTTTTTTTGAGAGAGGGTCTTGCTTTTTTGCCCAGGCTAGAGTGCAATAGCATTATTATAGCTCACTGCAATCTCAAACCCCTGGGCTCAAGTGCTCCTTCTTCCTCAGCCTCCTGAGTAGCTGGGACTACAAACACACTTCGTTGTGCCTAACTGATTTTTTTGTAGAGATGTGGTCTTGCTCTTGCTCAGGCTGATCTCGAACTCCTGGGCTTAAGCAATTCTCCTGCCACAGCCTCCCAAAGTGCTAGGATTACAGGTCTGAGCCACTATGCCTGGCATATGCCAATTATTCTTGTTATGATAAGTTTCTACATTCTGGTGTTAGTTTAAATAATTTATTTATATTTCATTCCTGAGAAGCTAAGGGAAGAAGTTGCCTAATGAATATGACAATTACCATTAAATCTCTGTTGTCCACTTTATGGATGCTTATATGATTATAGCTCCCTGTCCTTTAGTACATTTTTGGATTACTCTCACATTGTGTGTAATCAGTTTGTGGAAACTAAATTTAAAAATCCAAGTGAGATAAATTTAAAATACTTGGGTTAGGGAAAAAACACAGTTGCTGAAGGAGATTTCATAGCTAAATATAAGCAATTTTTGTTTTCTTTTTCTACTTATATGGGTTACACCACCTCTCCCCCTTTCAGTAATACAAGTAGGAGTTGACTGAGCACTGCCAAGTTAATATTAATGATAATATTAGCATGCTTGCACACATGTACATGTTTAAGGTTATATAAAAAAAATGTCTTTCCCATGTTTAATTTGGCTGACCAAATTAGTTAATTTTATTGCTGTGTTAACTTAAAATTCTAAACATATTAGTCTATTATTTAAATAAATGAGTAGAATTAAAATAGAGAATTGATTAAAGCGTTTTTTTAAAAAATAATTTTGAATAAAGTAGCAGGCCTCAAGTGAAATCCAGTTTTGGTTTCCTTTACAGGAATAGCTATTCACAGTCAGACAGAACCACTTATCACCTTTTGCAGTATCTCCTGAGGAAGTCAGAATCTGAGCCAGCATGAAGACTGAATCTTGTCTTTGGTCTGATTTATAAATCGTACTTTTATTCTAACCATGTGCAAAGTGGAGGTTATAGCATGGAAACTAAAATCTTAGTAAGTGTGAATTTTATTTTAGCTATTAAATAGTAGCCTTTCTTATAGTAAATTTGTCGTCTTAGCAGAGTTCACACTATAAATGGGGTGTGGACTTAGCAGGCAGGAACAAAATACAGTTCACTTCCAAAGTGAAAAATTTAGCTTTCAGGTTCAGGGAAAGTCTCTAAGAAAGAGAGGGAAAAGCTTCTGTACTCTATCTAGGATTTCTTTTTCTTTCCTGGCTAAATATAAATGATGGGATGATATTATTTGACTTGAGAAAGGTTTTAAGAAAATGGAGAGAGGTTGGCTTTAGTGGCCAGTGTCTAAATTGAAGGCATTAAAAAAATCATTATTAAATTTGCTATGTATTGCTTCCTTTATGAATTTTTCATTAAATAATAAGGTTTTTATTATAGTGGTGGTGTTAGTAAGCCCCCCCCCCAAATTCTAGGACCTTTTAAATAGAGAATATATTTTTAATATGAATTGAATTTTGAGTATATTTTAAATATTCAAAATTTTAAATAATTTGAATATGAACATTCAAAATTATGTTGGATGAGCTGGGCCTGGTGGCTCGCACCTATAATTCCAGCACTTCGGGAGGCCTGGGTGGGAGGGTTGCTTGAGGCCAGGAGTTGGAGACCAGTCTGGGCAACGTAGTGAGACCCTGTCTCTACAAAAACCAGAAAAATTAGCCAGATATGGTCTGCACACCTGTAGTCCCAGCTACTTGGGAGGCTGAGGCAGGCAGATTGCCTGAGCCCAGGAGTTGGAGGTTGTAGTGAGTTATGATCATGCTACTGTACTCTAGCCTGGGTAACATAGCGAGACCCTATCTCCAAAAAAAAATTATATTGGAATGATTATGCTAGTAGTTATCTTAGAGATGTTCCCTCAATTTGATTTGCCCAAGTATAGGTAATATGTAGTTTTCCTTTTGTGCTCCAGATAGAATTAGATTTTGAGGTTACTGAATATCAAGGAACTATCTCTGTTTTACAGCATTGCTTTGTTAATTGTAACCATTACTTCAGAACATCTTTCTTTTATACCTGTGCTAATTAATAGCAGTGGATAATTGCACTTTTAAGCTGCTTTTATCCCTTAGCAAATATTATAGAATTGACTTTGATCTTCTGAATTCATGAATCATACTCTATGTTGTTCATAATTTGAGAAGGGTTATATGTTTAAGGTATTATTTGGTTTGTGTTGTTTTCCTCCCTTTGGGTCTTTTAACTATTTGTTTTTCTAAATTGATGATGATGGCTGAAATTAAACATTTCTATTAGTGGTTTCCCTGTTTTAATCTCCTTCTCTCTCATAGCAAACCTCCTTTTATCTTCTGCCTATCTTTTTGCATTCCAGAGTACAATTTTATTAAATCCTGAGGTCTAAGGTTTTTTTTTTGGTGGAATTTATCCCCAATGTCACTGTGGAAATCAAAAAAGAAAATTGGGATAATTCAATATGAAATCTTAACATGCATCTTTTGAGAATTTATATTTTATAAGTTGAAGGTTATGTTTTTTGGGGGGGTATATATATTTTTGGAGGAATTATGTAGTTCTTATTTTAATAACCATGTCCTAATTATTTATAGCTTCCTGCTTGACAAAACTCACTTCAAGAAGTGCACAATGTCAGAACGTGGAATTAAGTGGGCTTGTGAATATTGTACGTATGAAAACTGGCCATCTGCAATCAAGTGTACTATGTGTCGTGCCCAAAGACCTAGTGGAACAATTATTACAGAAGATCCATTTAAAAGTGGTTCAAGTGATGTTGGTAGAGATTGGGATCCTTCCAGCACCGAAGGAGGAAGTAGTCCCTTGATATGTCCAGACTCTAGTGCAAGACCACGGGTTAAATCTTCATATAGCGTGGAAAATGCAAATAAATGGTCATGCCATATGTGTACATATTTGAACTGGCCAAGAGCAATCAGATGTACCCAGTGCTTATCCCAGCGTAGGACCAGGAGTCCCACAGAATCTCCTCAATCCTCAGGATCTGGCTCAAGACCAGTTGCTTTTTCCGTTGATCCTTGTGAGGAATACAATGATAGAAATAAACTGAATACAAGGACCCAGCACTGGACTTGTTCTATTTGCACATATGAAAACTGGGCCAAGGCTAAAAAATGTGTTGTTTGTGATCATCCCAGACCTAATAATATTGAAGCAATAGAGTTGGCAGAGACCGAAGAGGCTTCTTCAATAATAAATGAGCAAGACAGAGCTCGATGGAGGGGAAGTTGCAGTAGTGGTAATAGCCAAAGGAGATCGCCTCCTACTACAAAACGGGACTCTGAAGTGAAAATGGATTTTCAGAGGATTGAATTGGCTGGTGCTGTTGGCAGCAAAGAGGAACTTGAAGTGGACTTCAAAAAACTAAAGCAAATTAAAAACAGGATGAAAAAGACTGATTGGCTATTCCTCAATGCTTGTGTGGGTAAGTTTCTGGTTTTCTGCATTTTTTGAATGGAAAGGGAAAAGGTATTAAAAATGACATGAAAAGAACTGGGCTTGACAATGTGTTGCCCCTGTAGTTCCAGCTACTTGGGGAAGGCTAAGGCAGAAGGATCTATTGAGGCCAGTTCAAGGCTGCACTGCAGGATGATTTTGCCTGGGGTTAGGCACTGCATTCCAGCTTGGGGGACATAGGGACACTCCATCTTAAGGGAAAAAACAAAAAAAGAAAGAGATACAAACAGAATCAATATTATTTTAACATTTAGTTCATTTAGCATGATAGCTATACTCTCAAGTATGTGTGTTTAAGAACCTCTGTGTTTGTGATCTTGTCATAAATTTGTACTAAATTGACTATATTTAATTGTGTATATGTCTCTTCATCATTAAGGGGAAAAAACTTTTAAGTTAAAGCAAAGTTCTTACATATCAGTAGTAAATACATACCTGGAGTTTAAAACTGCTACTCTATTTATTGTGACAAGATGTGACTGAGGAACACCAGCTGCAGTTTCTGAGTGTTTGTAAACAGTATGAGCATCTTGTGATGATAGAAGCTTTAGTCAGATGTTAAAAATATCACAAAAATGTGTGACTCCAAGAAGTTGAACAGACATAATGTTGACCTTGAAAATACTGATGTTAATTTAACATGAATGTCATGTAGTAAATATTTGCAAACTTTATGGAACTGATTACATGTAGCCAGCTGATTCCATATTTCAAATTATGATTTGTATGTATTGTGTTTTTAGTGCTTTCCTAAGGAAATTTTGAATATTGGTCCTAGCTCAGGCAGAGACATGTGAGAGCAAGATTTTTCTGCAATTATTGATCTTATGAGTTAATTGTGATATTATTCACAAAAGTAGTGGCTTGAGTCTTTAGTACTTTTGAAATCTGAGTAGATTAGATGTTTGAATTTTATTATTTAAATTAGTTGTACAGGGTGTTTACTTTGACATTCAGTTTTGTAAAGGAAATTTTGATTGTTAAGGTTAAACTATTGTTAATGTATTATTAGACAATAGCTAAGCCTTAAGCATGGCTTAGCTGTATTTTACCCCCAGTATTAATTTTTTATTTATCACTCTGGATGTAGTCCCAAGAAATATGTAAGACATAGATATAGGAATCTGCACGTCCTAAGAAGAAATTTCAAGAAATCTGAGTTTTTATTTTAATTTTTTCCTGGCAAAAAAGAATATCCCAGGAGATGAACCCTCTGAACTCCAGACATAGTAGGCACTTAGCAACTGTTAGTTCCAGTTTTCTCCTGTCCTAAGGACTAGGAATGAAAACATACTGAGCCATATTCTGTCTGTGTCTGTGTTGTTCCATTTTATCCCACTGATTTTTTTCCCCCCACAGACTGGGGGACAAAATATATTTTTTTAAACAATTAAACAGGACATACAAAATGGCTTTATTTATTATTAGTTTTTTAATTGAGATTAAATTCATATAACATCAGATTCACCATTTTGAAAGTGAACAACTCATTGGCATTTAGGGCATTCACAGTGTTGTGCAACTACCACCTGTGTCTAGTTCTAAAACATTTTCATCACCCCAAGAGGAAACCTTATAACCCTTAAGCAGTTACCACCCTCCTCAACCCCTGGTACCCACCGATTCTGGATATTTCATTCATATAAATGGAATCTTACATCATATGACCTTTTGTGTTAGGCATGATTGTCTTTTAATTACTTGTATGGCTTTGGAGCGCTCTTAAAATTATTTTTTGCAGGTAATAGTGTACTAGTACCTGTCATGTTCTTTACTACAAGGTGGTGTTATGGTACATACAGTTTTACAGATGGAAATGAACTAAACTAAACTTCATTGCATCTGTTCTTAACTTCTTTTGAGGTCATAAAATCTTTTAGGAATTCGCGGTCATTGTTTCTTCAAGTCACTGGATCCTAGGACAAGAACTCCTGCTTTGAAATATTTTCTCTCCTTGAAACACACAGGTAGATGAGTCAACATGTTTGTCTTTATGGCTATTATTTCTTCTTGGTCCTGCCTTCTTTCTACATATCCTTAGTTCTTTGTATTAACCATCCTTGTACCTCTTTGCATTTTAGTAGCTGTGAGTTCATTTTAAAGGTGAAACAAAAACTTCTAAAAGCAGGGCCAATGTCAGATTTGGTCTTGGCTTCATTACTATTCCCACCCCAAAGTTTCTAGATTTTTAGGGCCAAGGGTTGATTGTATTTGGTTCTTGGTAAAGTGGAGTATGTCTTTCCTATTAGCAAAGATTTTTGAATGTTCACTGCATAATATGATTCTGATCTGTTACACAAAAGGCTACATACAGACTTGTCTCTTGGGCAGCCATATTGTGATTTGTAAACAGCACTGAAATATCTTAAGAACTTTTTTACGTTGTGTTTGGTTAAAAAATGAAAAAAATTTAAGCAGTAACACTAACAGAAGCATGTACACCCTGAAAATTAATCTTTATTTCTCCTTTTCTGCCTGCCTTATGTTCCCCAGATGATATATTATGGTATATTGATGCTAAGTGTTTTTAAAAATCATCTTCAAAGTATGTACACTAAAGATAAAATGTATACTGAGTATAAAATGTGAGCCTTTCCCATTTAAAATTGGAAGAAATTTTTCAACCTTAGGTCAACTTTGTAGCTGATAAAGTAGAAACGAGGAAGATTCATTGGTTCAGAATGAAAAGTAAACTGAAGCATCACTAGTATTGAGTAAACATCTTTACATGACTATTGGGTGGAAGTTTCACATAAGTCAGATTATTTTATGTGGTAAGAAGACATTGGGGCTGGCAGTGCCAAAAGTTGACATCAGTAAAAGTGGAACCGAGGGGTGGGAATCAGGGTAATAAAGGCAAGGGTATGAATTTAAATATGCAGTTGTCTCTGGAATGTCTGCAGTTGGTGCCTGATGTTTTCAGGGATGTTGAATCAGCACTCACTATGTCTTTTCCACTGGATAGACAAAAAGGTACCTAGAGAACGGCAGCACTACCTGCTTTTGTATTGAATCAGTTGTCCTGTGAAATTGCATTTCAATTTGTGACTCTGATCTCTTCAGAAGACACAGGGCCAGATAAGAACATCAAACATTAAATCTGTGCTATAACTTGTATTCCTGAATTCTAGATTCATATATCCAACTGCCTGTTCAGCATTTCCCCTTGAGTGTCTAATATCTCAAATTTGTTTCAAACTCAGACTGAAACTGAACTGATCTCTCCCTCATAAATGTTTTCTTATAGTCTCCCATCTTGGTTGATGGCAAATTCATTTTTCTGTTACTTGTGCTAAAAGCCTTGGTTATCCTTGATTCTCCTGTTTGTCAGCAGCTCCTATTGGCTCCACCTTCAAAATATATCTAGAATCTGATCGAGTCTCAGCACTCTGATCCAAACCTGATCCTCTCCTTCCCCTAGCCCTCCCTTATAATCTGCTTCCAACATAGGAGCTACTGTTTTTTTTTTTTTTTTTTAAATAACTCAGCTCAGAACCTTCTAGTGACTGCCTGTGTCACTTGGAATAAAAGCCAGTCCCTCAAAAATGCCTTTATATGCTTTGTGTCTTACACTCTCCCCTCGCCCATATATAGTTCACACTTTAAGAACACAGGTTTGAACCATGTGGGTCCACTTACATGCTGATTTTCTGCCACCTCTGAGACAGGAAGACCAACCCCTTCTCTTCCTCCTCAGCATAAAGATGAGGATGAAGACTGCTATGATAATCCACTTCCGCTTAATGTATAGTAAATATATTTTCTTTTCCTCACGATTTTTTTAGTAACATTTTCTTTTCTCTAGTTTATTGTAAGAATACAGCGTGTAGTACATATAATGTACAAAAGGTTTGTTGCTTATGTTGTTGGTAAGGCTTCTGGTTAGTGGTAGGCTACCAGTAGTTAAGTTTTTGGGAGAGTTAAAAGTTAAATGCAGATTTCCTCAGTGTTTTCAAGGGTGAACTATTTTTTACCTCTGAACTCATCATCTGCTCTCTAGGTTCTCCATTTCACCCCAGCCACTTTTCTATAAACAAGCCTCAGGCCTTTGTACTTGGTCTTTCTTCTGACTGGGTTGCTTTCTTCTGGTTGCAGAATTTGCTAAATTATCTCCTTCAGTTTGTTTCTCAAATGTTGCCTTTTCAGTGAGTCCCTCCATGACTGCTGTATATAAAGTTTTATCCCTGTCCCTTACCCTGTCTCCAGCTTTAATTTTCTTCACAACTGTATCACCTTCTAATATACTTAGTCATCTTCTTTATTACTTGTCTCTCTCTCTCCCCTAGAATTTAAGCTTCTTGAGGGCCAGGAATTTTATCTGTTTTGTTCACAACTGCATCTCAGTACCTAGGACAGCACCTGCTACCTACACAGTCATATATTTTTAAATCAATGAATAAATGAATATATTTTTGGAAACTGGGGTCTGGGCAGACAGACCTTTATTCTGCTCCTATCCTGAATTTCTAGATTCTTTGCTGTCTTCTTAGGTTTCTGTTTTCTTTACCTTACAGACTATTTGGGGCTTGATCCAGTGGAGCCAACTCTACTTCTCCCTGGTTGTGAGGGGCAGACAGAGGGTAGTAGATATGATAGGGTCCTATTGGAGAGGGTTGAGAGGCAGTCCAAGGCTGTGAAAAGTCTGGAGTCAAGTTTCTTTACCTTTAATTTCTTCATCTTTCTCCTTTTACATTTGATTTTAAAAAAATAATTCTTTCTGTTTACTATACCTAGAGTTCTATCAAATATAATTTTTACTTGAAAATGTTTTATTCATTTGTCATTAGACCTATTGCTTCCTAATTGACATTTTGTCTTGCTTAAACACTAGCTGCATCTTTCTTATGTTTAGCTTGTCCAGTACTCCTGCTAATGAAGATGGGAAGGATCCTTGTGCTCGGTTTTGGGTTTTCCCTCCATCAACATTTTTTTTTTTTTTGGAGGAGTCTTCAACTTTGTTGCCAGGTA